AAATAAAAGATTATCAAAGAGACATAAAATTTAAAACTTAGAAAATACTAATGAAAATATAGTATATAAAAAATGAAAACAAGTCAAATATAAATTTGAAGAGAATGCATAAATTATTATGGATATTCATCAATATACAGATATTTGATATGGATAGTTATATTTAATTGCACGTATCTTAGCTGGAAGAAAACAACTAACCTGACAGTGCCACATTGGACTTTTACAGATGGTAATTACTGAAAAATTTTGGACGCGTGTCAACCATGTTATGCAGACTTCTGTCAGAGATACCCAGGAAGCAGTCGAGAAATAATGGTCCCTGACAAAAAAAGACAGAAACGCTTTTGAAAGATAATGTCAATGATGTATAAATGATAGATAAAATGCACATACACTGTACGATAATTTTTAAGACAAAAATTATACATAAGTTCAATTTTTGTCAAAAATTTACGATTTCGAGAAGCAACAAAGGACTTGATGAATATAATTTATTATTTTATCTTTGGTTAACATTCGGAGAACAATAATTAGTATTTCATCTATATTTGTGTTTATATATCATGAATTTTTTAAAACAATTATTAATATTCTAAAACTGATAATTAATGAGTAACTTGCGTATTAAATTGCAAAATGATAAAACCATGTAACATAAGGAATATTTATTCCGAATGAAATTAATAAACTTACGTATGCTCGATGACTGGTGGTGGTTTCACTATCTTCGTACGAATATTTTTCGGCTCAACTAAATCAGCGACATACAATCGTACAGAAGGATTTGGTGTTCCTGGCTAGTAAATAAAACACTTCTAAAATATAGTGTTCTTTTCTTCTTTTATCTTGTTGACAAAACATAAATGATATATACAAAAATTCTAATTTAAAATATTATAAAATTTATTTAATCGTGTACCTTAGGATACCGTAGAGATCGTATATCAGGATATAAAGCTTTGTTTCCTTCTCCAAACCATGAAATGTGCATCTCTTCTACAAGAGAATCATTGAACGAGGCATAAAGCATCATATGGCCATCTGGCGACATCCATATTGCCTCTGCACTGTGCAATATTTCCTCTATAAATAATAATTAAACAATAAATAATTCATTTATATTTTATTAACGCTCTATCGACAATGTTGTCCTTTTAAGACTAATCCAATTTTTTAATTGAGAATTTTAAGAAAATGGATACCCTAATAATACTTTATCTTTTTATTTTTTTTTCCGTTAGTATATGTTGTTGACTATCATATAAAAGTTGATAGGTATCTTCTAGGAAAAATTGATAAGTATCTTACCTTCGTATAACCAATCTGGTACACCATTGGATAATATACCAGGCACTGCAGTGTTCGTTACACGATATGCAGTATTGCTTGTGGGACTTGTTGTGTAATAAATATCGTAATCCTGTACCATGACGAGTCCATGTCCACGTGGAGTCCATTGTGCTAATAGAAGATATGGATGACTCTCTTTCTCAGGATAAGGTGTTAATGCTACGCACTCTCTGTGAAATTATTCGTAAAAATTTCTATATTTGTAATAATCAATGTGCTATTTGTGCATATGAATTACACTGACCGTGAATTGACATCATAAACTATATATTGCGCTAAGTATGAATGGCGAAATAGTTTCTTCACATTTTGTGCAAGAAGCAAAAATTGATGATCCGGCGATAAAGAGAATTTTACTGGATTCAATCGTCTCTGCATAAAAAAATGTTAGTTCATGTCTTAACAGTAAACTGATAATAATATATTAAATTTATTTTTATGATACATTTTTTTAGATAAAAACTTACGAATGTCTCATTTGGCATTAAACTACGTGATACGATACTCGAGACATTTAACAGAGAAATGCCACCCCAAATATCTCGATAACAAATGTGGCGATTACTCGCCCAGGATCCATTGAATAATAAAGGAGATAATTCGCCAGAGAGTACCTGAAACACAGTAAAATATCTTTGAACCGTTTTTATTTATTCTATAATTTTTTGAAAATATGAAACGTTAATTAAGATAAATGTTGAACACACTTCTAATACCTGCAAATATATATATATATATATATATACTACAGGTACGCGTAAGAAAGAGAGAG